GTCCTGTAGGCTCACCATGAATCAGAATCGACTCAGTAGCAGTGAGAATCCTAATAGGTGTGGTGTCGTTCATTATAGTTTAATTTGCATTTCCATAATGGCTAATTTATTTAATCATCTTTTCACCTATATACAGTTCGTAACTCCTTAGTAAAAGAATCTGTTCAAGTCTTTTGCCTATTTTTTAAGGGTGCTTCTTGTTTTTTAGTTGGGCTTATTTTGTTGTTGTACATTGAGAGTTCTTACTCTTCTCCAGTCTGGGACTTCTCTTCTCACGCTCCTCAATGGCTTTGACAGGGCTGGTGCTTTTCATTTTGCTGAAGGCCAAGTTGTCGGATTATCTATCTTTTGTGGGTCATGATTCTAATGTTGCAGCAAAGAACTCCTTACCTGCCAACATTAACGACGCAAAGATTTTCTTCTATACTCTTTTAAAAGTTTATCATTTTACCGTTCATTCTTGCGTCTGTGATTCTTTTTGAGTTAACTTGTATGTATAGCATGAGGCGCCCATCAAGGTTCTTCTTGTTTTAATGGCTAGCTGGTTGTCCCAACATGTGGTTGAACAGAATATATTTTTCACCTTGCCAAAGATCATTTACTTATATACTCTAGTATAAGCCAACCTGAATATCAGGCACCTAATTCTACCACAAAAACTGTATTAAAAATGTGCTGAAAAATTTGGCTTATACATAAGTATATATAGTAAGTTGACAGTATTTCAGGACTCTCTTCTGTTCTGTTGACCTATGTCAGGGGGCAGCAGCTGTCTAAGGCCCACTAGTAAAGATTTCAGCCAGTGTCGGCAACATCTGAGGTATTCTGTGGGCACTTGTCTAACCCATCAAAATCAAAATATAATCATTCAGAATAATGTGAGAAGCATGAAATTCTTTTTTCTAGGAAAAGGGATTACAGTTCGCTTCATTGGGATTCATACTATTTCCTTTCATCAGAATGTATTGCAAATATCCATCTATTCTGTAATGAAAGTTTTATGTCTTTTGTCTTGGAAAAAAATGGCTTTTCAGGTAGGCAAGATGCATGGCAGTCAAAACACAGCAGTCGGTAGTGTATAAGAAAGCGGTGCGAAGCCACGCGAGTGCCGAGCACAGAACCACCGTATACCACAGACCACCAATGAGCGTGGCTGCATTCAAATAGATCCCTACTTATGGACACTGAAATTTTAATGTCATATCATTTTTGCTGGTCATAAAGTATTATTCTTCTCTTGATTACCCCACCAAGCTACTTATTTATTTATTTATTTATTTATTTATTTATTTATTTATTTATTTATTTATTTATTTTAAGAACTCCTCCTGAGTTTGCTGGTGTTGTGAGGTGCCGTCATGGCCCTCCTGGTCATTGAGCTGGCTCCGACTGGTGGCTTTAGAGATGTCCAGCATGTGAGACTGGGCCTGCAGGCTTGAGTTCACTTGCCCCTGGTCTCCGTTTCTTTCTTTCGCTCATACAAAGGGCAAGATGAATGTCGTTCAGTAGTCTTGGTTGAAGTAAGGTGATGAGTCCTCCAACTTGGTTTGGGGCCTTTTCAGAATGGTCTGGGCTTGTCACAGTTCCTTTGCCTTTTAATATGAACTTTTGATCTCCCTTTTATTAAAAGAAATAAATCCCTGCTTGGATTTTGATTGGAATTACATTGACGCTAGAGCAATTTGGGAAGAACTGAGGTCTTTGCAATAGTGAGTCTTCTAATCCATGAGCACTGGAGCCTTGGTGGCATAGTGGTGATGCTGACCCCAACATTAGCGGTTTGAAACCACAGGGCACTC